CTTGAGGCAGAGGCGTCTCTCAGCCTTTCCTGGCTCTCGACGGCATGGGCCGTCTGGAGGAGCCTTCGCAGAGCTCCCCCGGGTGGGGATCCTCGTGGTCAGACTCGGGGTACAGGTCTTGGGGGGCAAGGCCCTGGGGGTGCAGTGCCCTCTTGTCACCTCCGGCCGGGGCACGTGTGGCCACCCTGACCCGGAGCCCTGGTGGAAGTGGTGGAGATCAGGTGCCTGGTCCCCCGTAGTCCCTTGGCCCCTTGGCTGCTGGGAAAGACGGGGAGCCGACTGCGTGCCCGAGTCCGGCCTCAGCCCCGTGTGGGGGCCGTGCACACAGCGGGTGGGACGCGCGGGCAGTTTCTCTGCCTCCTCCGTGTACTTACTGATTCACCCTTTGGCTGTGTCATCTGGCCGGGATGTTTATTTTCTACGTTGCCATTTGCTCCGTTGCTGAAACGGGTCAGGCTCTGGCTGCTGGGCAGCCTGGCGGGCTCTGGCCGCTCGGACCGCGTCCCCAGCCCCTACAGTTTTCCAGCAATTGCTTACGGCCTGGCCCCGGGGCTCCTGTCCCCGGCTGGGGCCAGCCGTTCTTCAAGGAGCCTGGTCCCCAGTTTGGAGGAGGATGATGGAAATCACGGCCAGTGTCCGAGCGCCCTGCACCCCGGGTGCGGGGGTTCCCGGCCACCGCCCCCAGCCCGTCCCCGCACCGCTCGAGATCCCTCTTCGTTAGAGTGAAGCCGTGTTGGTAGGGTTTTAGATTAAAACCCCAATCACAGGAAATGTAAAACCGAAACTTATTTATATGAAGAATATTCCAAACTGTTTTAGCATCTTTGATTAGGTGGATGAATATGTTTTGGAAAACTGAAAACATAAATTATGTACCTGATTAGAGCCCTTTTTGCCTATTTGGAATTCAGGAAATTAAGAAACAAATATAGAGCGTGTGGACCTGCGGGAACGGCTTCCTGCCGGTGCGCCGCGCGGTTGGCACGCCCGTCCGCCCGTCCAGTTGCCCCCGCCTGGCCTGTTGGTCCTGGGCGGGGCGGGGACCCTCCCAGCGTGCGGACCCTCGGAGAGAGCAGGCGGGGGCTGCGTGGGGGCCAGACCCCTGCCCTGCAGGCTGGGTGCCCCCTGAGTCTGCGGGGTCCCCTGCAGGGCCCGGCTCCCAGTGTAACCAGCTGGCCCTGCAGCGGGAGCCCTTTCCTCACCGGCAGCCCACGCGTTGCGAGTGTCCTTGGTTTCAGGGCGCCCGCTGGGCTCCGGCCGGGGCGCAGGCAGGCTGCTGACGTGCGGAGCCGCCCTCCCCAGGTCTCGGGGCGGTGTCTGCGTCATTGTGGCTTCCTTTGTGGCTGCAGGAGACCCTTCAGGGCAGCTTAGAGGGTCTCCGTGCCCCTGTGCTGGGCAGGCTGTTCTGAAGGGGGGCGTGTCCGCGTGCCTCAACCTGGGCTCCGCGGGCCAAGGGGACCCCGCGCCCGCCACCCCCCCGGCAGGTCCCGAGGTTGGGGTGGCCGTGCCCGCTCCCGTCACCCGCGGACTGTCCCGCCCACTGTACGTCAACGAGCAGCAGAGGCCCCAGAGGGCCGGTCTGCGAGGTGGCTCAGCCAGGCGGACGGCACAGGGGTCTGCGGGGTCCCTGTGTCTGCCCGGGCCCCACGGACACACACAGCCCTCTTCGGAGCCCTTTCCTCGCGTTGACCCCACGCCACGAGCCCGGGGGCGGGGTCGTCTCTGTGTTCCAGGGCGCCCTTGCTGCGAAGTCTGGAGCTGCATCTCGGAGGCCACGGGAGGCCACGGCCGGCCGCGCCGCGGTGGTCTCTCTCCAGGACATGCTTTCTCTCCCCGGGGCTCCCCGGGCCCCGCCTCAGGGCCACCTGTCACCTGGCAGCGGGAGCTGTTTGGGTGTCCTCCCTGTATGACCCCCGGGACACGGCCTCCTCACGCTGTGTCTGCAGGAGCCTGTGACCCCCAACGGGGGCCTTGGCCGGCCACCATCTCGCGGGCAGTGGGAGGCTGTGTCAGGCACGCGCCACGTGTGCAGGGGCAAGGGGGTGGGGGTGGCCTGTCCCGACAGCCAGCCGTGTGCTGCGGGCGCCCACGGGTAGGCTGGGCCTCGGGAGCGGGGGATGGGAGCTTGCGCGGCGCGCCCCCAGCCCGGCGGCTCCGTGCCGGCCACATGCTCAGTGCCAAGCTCTGGTGGGCACCTGGGGACCACCGTGGTGCCCGTGCCCATGGGGCCGTGGTGCGTGCCGTGTGTGCAGTCTCTCGCACGCACATGACACACGGATACCGTCCAGGGGCCTCCTTGCGGGTGGGGGCGGGGGCAGGGCAGAGGAGCCTTGCTCCCAGACAGCCCGGGGTGACCTCCTGACCAGCACCTGGGCCGCTGGGGACCTGCCTGGGGACCCTGCTCCGCCCCCGGGGCCGGTCTCGCTGTCGGCGAAGCGGAGGCACCTCCCACCGTGCACCCCCAGCCGAGGAGGGCGGCGGGGGCCGTCCCTGTCCCCCGGCCCCCGGGAGAGGGAGCGGGGCCAGAACGGTTTCCCACCTTCCCGGGGCGGGACCCCCGAGGTCGGCCCCTCTGCGCAGCCCCTCGCTCCCCGGCCGCCCATATGGGGAGCCGTCGGCAGTTCGGGGAGCCTGGGAGCCCCCGGGACAGGCGCCCCCGCGTGTGCGGCCGTAATTAATGGGTGGCCCCCCCAGGGCAGGCTGCTCCCCCTCGCCCGGAGGTAGCGGCAGAGAGCAGACGTTCCTATCGTGGCAAGTAAGAAAAATTCCTCATCCCCCCACTTCTGTTATAAACAATGTACGACTTGCTTTCTCCTCACTCCTCTTGACCCTGCACACTGTATACATATTTATATATTATTCATCGTGGATTAAAAATAGATGTGCTCTTTACCACGGCAGTGCGGCGCAGTGACAATACAAATTAACGTATGATGTACTTAACTTTTCACGCGGCCGTGACGGGGGTGATGATGGCCTCCGAGTGGGGGCGGGGGGCACCCGCCGCGCTGTCTCGAGCTTGGGCCCCGGCCGCTCGCGGGACTGGCGCTCGGGGCAGCGGTGCGGCTGCGGGCAGAGCTGGGGGAGGCCTGCCCACCTGCCTCCTCCGCGCAAGGGGGTCCGAGCCTGCGGGCGCCTGTGGGCCCGGCCCCGGCCCACCTCCCGCGTGGAGCTCCCCGCCCGCGCGCTTCCTGCCCCTCTGGGCCCGTCGCCGCCCCTCACACCTGCCTTCACTCAGGGGGGCCCTCGCTCCTTCCGCACACTCCCTCCGGCGTTGGGCTCACGGCGGCCTTCACGCAACCACTTGGCGGGGGGGTGTCTCTGTGTGTAGTACGCTGTCATCGTGGTTCTTGGAGGGCGTGGGAGGAGCCGAGGCCTGGGTGCATCGCGGCCGCTGGACTGTGTTTCAAGGGACGGCCCAGGAGGTGTGCGCACGGGGGCCGGGGGGGTCCTCCGGACAGGGCGGGACGGGTGGATGGGGCCAAGTGACCAAGGTCCTGCCTGCTCCTTAGGAGGGAGGTGGCCGTCGGAGAAGCGGGGCCAGGAAATCATAGGAGGAGGTGGGTTCGAGGTGCGCATGCCGATTCTGGGGGGATGGGGACCCCCATCTGGGGATGCCCTCCCCCAGGCAGCCCCGTGCAGCCCAGGCCGGGGTCCGATGGACCCAGCCAGAGGAAGAGCCAGCGGGCGGAGCGGGTTTGTCCTGGAGGCCGGCTGTCCCGGTGGGGAGAGGGACAGACACCGGCCACCCCTGATGCTGGCAACAGAGAGGCTGCTGCCAGCCCTGCGTGTCGGGCGTCTCGCGGGGAAGCGAGCGCCAGCTGCCGGCGCTGGCCTGGCCGGCGGCCCCCGGGGGCAGGACCGCCCCGCGCCGCAGCCCCGTGGAAGGAGGGCTGAGTCGGCGTTTGGGTGTTTTCTGGGGTGAAGGGTTGGGCCTGTTGGTGCTCTTGTTTGTTTTGCTGAGCAAATGAAACCCAGGCCTGGGCTCGGGGGCTGCCAGGAGCGACTCGTTCACAGCTCCCGGCCTCGGGGACACAGCGCCCCGCCGGGACGCCCCCAGCCGCTGCTCGGTGGTCTCCTCAGACGGCCTCAGGCGCGTGTGTGGCGCGGAGCGCCAGGCAGGGGCGTTGGCATGGGGGCTCAGACGCAGGGATCTGCCTCCTGCTCTGCTTCTGAGCCTCCCTAGAGAGGCTTGACGTCAAGGGCCGCCCTTCCAAGTCCAGCCTCCTTCAGTGGGTGGCCGCCCGGCTGGCACCTGTGCCCCCGCCTGGGAGCCCTGGGGCCCACAGCGTCCGCCGGCTCAGCGCTCCGGCTGGGCCCAAGGCGGGGGACGCCCTGTCCCGCCCTCGTCACGCCCGGTTCGCTCGCCAGTGGAGCCTGTGGGCGGGGAGGGCGTGGGCTGCCTCTGTGGACAGGGAGTCAGGGTCCCGGGCGGAGGGCTCCGTGGCTCCTTCGCGTAGAGCCGGGGCCCCCGAGCCCAGCGCGGCCGCCCCCTCTGCCCGCTGTCCGTCTTCGTACGGCCTGTGAGCGAAGAGTGGTGTCCACATTTTTCAAAGGGTGGAGGAAAAATGCAATTCACATTTCAGTGTCCATAGTAAATTATTGAATTTCAGCAACAAAAGGCTGGAAAATGTTTCCTCTTTGTTATACCAACATAAGCATGTGCATAGCGTCTCGAGGTGCCTCCCAACCCGCCGAGTCTCCACTATTTACCACCCAACTTTCTACTGAAGAAGTTTTGGGTGTGGGGAGCTTGCTCTGCTATCACCTGGGAAGTCTGAGTTGAAACTGGGCCAGGAGGACCCCATTCTGTCCCTGTCCAAGTTTTGTCATTTGGTAACGGGGTGACCTATGTGCCCACACAGACGCACTGGCTGCGCGTCTCTCCTTCGCTGTGTGACGTCTGCCCGGTCGCCACCGGTGGCAGGGACCACGCTCCTCGGGGGGGTCGGGCGCCGGGTGCCCAGCTGCAGACCTGACCGCGCTCTCTCTGCCCGCAGGTCCCCGGCCGTTCCAGTGCCGCTACTGCCCCTACAGTGCCTCCCAGAAGGGGAACCTGAAGACCCATGTGCTCTGCGTCCATCGCATGCCTTTCGACAACAGCCAGTACCCCGACCGCAGGTTCAAGCGCTCCAGGGTGGACGCGGACACGGCTGGGAGCTGCGAGGAGCTGTCGGCGGTCAAGGCGGGGGGCTCGGAGCTCCCGGAGGAGGGCGAGCGGGCCCAGGAGGAGCACCACTGAGCCGCGCCGCCCGCCGCCCGCCGCCCCGCACGGGTCTAGGGTTGTGCGTCTGGGAAAAGAGCGTGCTAACCATGCCCTGGGGGGCGGGGATCATGGGCCCCCCCCCGCTAGTGTATAGAACATTTAAAAAATTTAAAGAGATATCTATATATATATTAAAAAGAAAAAAGGTCCCCAGCCCTTGAAAATGGCTGCTAAACTGTTACCCAGCAACAAGAACTTCCACACAAGGCAGGTGGGAGGAAGGCGGAGGAGCCCCATCCCCTGCCACGTCCTCTGTCCAAACGCCACACTCTGAGCTGGAAGCGACACCATCTGAACGCTTAGTGCTGCCTCGAGGACGGAGGTGCTGTGTGTTCCTGTCGAAGCACCTCCAGAACCTGACACCCGCCGCTGTCACCGACCGGGCACCTAATGAGACGCACAGGGAGGCAGCCCGGTGCCAGCCAGGCTGGAGCGGCCGCAGCCCGAAATCAATAGGCGGGCGTGGTGGCCGCGCGCTTGGAAACCCGAGCTGGCGGCGGCGGCGGCGTGGCCGTCCCGTGTGCCGCTAAACGCGCAGCCGCGGGTCCGCAGCCAGGAAGTGTCTGCAGACAGATGTCCATTGCTGGTTGGATGAGTAATTCCTTTTTTAGCTCAAATTGCAGTATTGAGGGAAGTGCTTTTTTTTTTTTTTTTTCTCTTGGCTTGTCTTTTTTTTTTTTTTTTTTTTTTTTGGAGTAAGAAAGAAGGTGGCTAATAAAAACATTTAGGGGAACATTTTAAAAAATATTGTTTAGAAGAACTAGCCAATCCTGTCCATAGAAGGTGCTGGGGAGAAATGGAAATGGATATAATAATAGGAAGATGTTTTTTATTATGATTTTTAACCTCTGACTTGAATGAAGGCTGCTCCGGTCCTTGTAACCAGATTTTTTTTCACGCGTTCGTTTTAATCAGTGTTGCAGACACGAATCAGATTTTCTTCTCTGCGAGCTCTCGTAAAGGAGCTTGTATTAAAATATGAATCTAAACATCCTGCTCTCTATCGCTAATGGAGAAAACTGTTTGAGTTAAAATGTCTGTTTTTGTAAAACAAATGTGTTCTCTATTTTTGTAGATTTTAGATTTTCTACTGATTGGATAATCCAAATTTATCAAGTTCTTCACCACCCAGAGGGAGATTTTGAGGGCCAATAATGAAACACTTAACTCATTTAAAAAAAAAAAAAAAGAAAGAAACGGTTTAAGAATACTAGTTAAGGGTTTGTTCTTGAATCCGCTAGAACGGAGCGAAGGGTCCGCTTCCCAATGGTCTTCCTTTGAGTGACCCCGAACCGGTGCTGTGGTCTGGGACGTAAGGGAAACCGTGAAGTTATAACTTCTTCTCAAACAAGATCATTCCGACTTTAAAAAAATAGAAGTAAAAAGTCCACATTTCCTTGCAGGCTGGGAGCACAGGATAAAACCCCAGGGCCTTAAAAACTTCAGCTCTGCCTCCAGCAGTTTACGAAAACACTAAACTGCAATCGATGTAAATACAACGCTTCGCTCTCCTGAGACGAGGAGGAGTCTCGGGCGTGGAAGGAGCGCGGCTTGCAGAGGCCGCAGCGCGTGCCCCCGCGCCCGGCTCCCTGCGTGTGAGGCCGCCGGGCCCGCCTGGCGTCCGGCAAGCTGCTTTCTTGTTTTTCTAGACTAGTTCTCACTGCCTTACTTAAATCGAGTGGATACACTTAATGCAACTGTTTCTATGGTCCCAGAGCCGGGCCGCGACGTGACTGAAAACTGTCGGACTGTAGTGAGCTTTAGGATTCCCACTGCACTGCTGTGTCTGGTGGCTGTGCTGGTCGCTTGCTTTCTGTGTGTTTGCCCTGCCTTTGGTATCTTAGCAAAGAAAAAAAAAATATATATCTTAAAAAAAAAAAAACCAAGATAAAAAAAGTAAAAAGAAAAAAAAAAGAGGAAAAAAAAAAAAAAACAAGAGCCACATTCCATTTCTAGCACTTTGGGAACTCAGTATTCTTTCGTGTCTTCTGAGCATCGCCGGATGCTCCAGGCAATAACGCCGTCGCGGCACTGGACAGCCCCTCTTGTGGCGTGTGTGTCGGTCCCATTCTGTCCCGTGCTGCCGCCCCCGCCCCCTCTGACGCGGAGCGTGTGCCGCGGTGCTGCGGCGCCCGCTGCGAGCGTCGCCGGGCTCTCCTCGCGGAACGTGTCAGGTCCTCTCCCTGTAACTCCTGTGGTCTGTGATGCTGGTCATAGTACTGTCCGCCTCCTCCTCGGAGCGGACCCGTCTCGGAGGAGGGCTGAGATCGGTAGAGTAGAGGGTTTCGTTGCTATGCTTGTAACAAGTAGAAAACTTTGTATTTAAAGTTTATTCTTGGTCATTATTTATTATTATGATACATCAGTTGACAGAACTTTATTCTGGTATAGAAAGTATTAAAAGTTGTTTTTTCAGCAATGACTGTTTTCTTTCTGCTGTTAGAATAAAATGTCTTTGAAGCAGTCCAGTTTTATCCAGTGTTTTATGCAATAAAACCTCTACCTCTGGAAAAAACAGACATCTTTTCCTTTCGCTTATGTGTACGAGGACGTGGAAAACCAGCGCTGGCAGCTGGGCCAGGCGCGGGCAAGCCGGGGTCCCGGCCACGTAAGAAAGCAAGCGGAAGCCCCCCGGGAATCCGGGCGCCGGCCCCCGCCGCCGTAGGGGGCTGAAGCCACAGGACTCTCTGTGCAGCGTGTGTGCGTGCGGTGTGCGTGCGCCAGAGCGTGTGTGCATGTGTGTGCTTACGTGTGCATGCCTGCACGCCCACCCACGTGTGCGTGCGGGCCGTGCTTCCGGAAAGGCGCGCGGACGTCGGTTTCGGTAGGTGCAGCTTTTGGAAGTAGAAGTGCTTTTCATGCCGCAATAATGATAGGAGACACTTACAGTGCTGGGGTCTATTACTCCCCTTTACCGGTAGAAGGGTTTTTTCTTCTTTAAAATCATTAAATGCAGGGAAGGCTTTACCTCCAAATTGCCGGAGGATAATCTGAGTCCTCCCTCCAGAAGCAGAGGCAGGCGGCAAAGGGCACCGAGGCCCCGGGTCGGCCCCGGCGGGGCAGAGCCCGGACACCCGCCCGCACGGCGAGGCGAGCGTCCTGCGCCGGGTCCGGGGCCGCAGAGCGGCGTCGTCTCCAGGTTTTGTTGCCCTGGGTTTGGTTTTGAATCCAGCGGATTGTTGAGGCGGAGCCTCGGGCGGGGAGTCCCGACCCAGGACTGTGCGGGCCATGGGGGCCGCCCTGTGTACAGGAACCTGGGGCCCCCCTGTTTCCCTCAGACCGTGGGGGTCTCCGGGGGAGCTGACAGTGCGCGACCCCCTCCGCAGCCCAGACTGTTGTCGCGAAGAGCACAGGCGAGTCACGGGGCTTCCCGTGCGGGGCCAGGGAGCGACCCTCAGGGAAAGGGGTTGCTGAGGGGTCACAACTCCACAGACGCGATGTCCCCAAGCCCAAGTGCGTCCGGGGGCAGGAGTGGGGCGTCTTGGGGTCTCTGGAACCTCAGCGACCACCTGCATCACCACGAGGGCCACGGCCTGGGGGCTGTGGGGCCCTCCAGGGTCAGCGGACGCCTGGATTTTGTCGGCAGTCCCCTGGCCTGTGCACGCTGGCTCAGACGTGTTTTACAAAAGTCTGTAATAAATAGCTGAGCAGAACGTGGTCTGTCCGTGGAACGGACTGCTGCTCGGCCGTACGCGGGAACGAGGCGCTGACCCCGACGTCGCGTGGTCGCATGGGAGGAGCCGGGGACGCAGAGCGCCTGGCGCAGGGTGACACGTGCGTGGACGTCGGAGCTGGTGGAGCCGCCGCGCGGCGGCCGGGGGCAGCGGGGAGGGCGGGCAGGACGGCCACCTGGACAGGCCTCTTTCTGGAAGGGTGGGAAGAGTCTAGAATTAGGCAGCAATCATGGTGGCCCGGCTCCAAAAATACTAAAAAGCAGGGAAGTACCCGCTAAAGGGGTGCGTTTTATGGTACGTGAATTATCTCTCGGTAAAGCTATTGTAACAAAAATAAAACTGGGAGGAGGTCTTGGTAAGAAGCATCAGAACGTACTTCCATCCAAATACGTGGAGCCCCACATCAGCACGCCACGCGGGACCGTAAAATCGGGGCTGGGCTGAGTGCCGCGCGAGCCTTTGCGGACCCGCCTCACCAGCGGCGTCGTCTTGACCAGTGTAACTGCTCTGCGCGCGTCGAGCCCATCTGTGAAATTTTGAGATTAAATGCGGTGAAATGTGGGGCGTGCCGTGTGGGTTTGTGAAGCACTTGACAAAGGCCAGGTGTCGTCGCAAGTTTCGGGTAAATCTGAGATTGATTTCCTGCCCCCGAGACGCCGCGCCCTGAAAAGCCCTGTGTCGGGGACCTGCCTGGGGCCCGCGGTCAGGGTCCCTTGGAGGCAGCAGACCCTGGGCCGAGGTCCTGCCCTTCCTGTTTTCCAGTTTCCTCGTTCGAAAAGCAGAGTTCCCTGCCCTTCCCGGGCGCCATTCCCAGGGCGTTCGGGGGCAGTGGGAACAGCCGGTCTTGGGTTTGAGGTTATTGCACCCACTTGTTGAAGGGATGGTCACAGAGGACCTACTATGCGTCAGGCGCCGGCCACAGGCTGGAGGCCCGCAGACCACTGTCCACGGAGGAAACCGCCTTCAATCTGATCGTAGAAACTGAACCTTGAAAATCCTCAGGGGGAGAGGCCAAGGGGGCACGGCTTTCCCACGCCACACGAGAGGCCCCACGAGGCAACAGGAACTGACACAGGAGGGAGGTGGGGCCAAAGCCACACATGCGAAGGGCCTGCCAGGCTCCGCGTCTCCCGGTCGCGTGGCCCTGGCCGACGGGTCCCATTCCCGAGTCCGCTCCTTGGTCTTCAGTCCGGGGAGAGCGTGGCCCACACGAGCCTCCCTCAGGGGTCAGAGGGGAGGGTCCCCCGGGGGCTGGCAGTGGGCGGCAGGCCCGGCTCAGAGGTCAGCCAAGGCGGCGGTGTCTGCAGGGCACCCCGGTGACTTGTTTTCCAATGTTTTATTTTTCTTCCTCCCCCGAGGATAGGTTTGTTGAGCGTAGAGAGAGGAAGGGAGAGCGAGACGTGGATTTGCTGCTCCACTCCTCGATGCCTCATGGGCCGATTCCTGCGTGGGCCCTGAATGTGCAACCTTGGCGCATCGGGGCAGTGCTCTAAGCAACTGACCCCCCGGCCAGACCCACGGCAGCGAGGTCCCTCAGTTGTTGCCAACGCCCGGGGCGGCAGGCCCCCAGGAGGCGGCAGAGGGCTCCCGAGCCCGGTCCGGGGACTTCGTGTAGCTCCAGTCACCCCTCTGTGGACGGGGCGTGGCCGCCCCGCTGGCTGTAGAGAACCCAAGCGGGCGATCTGCTGCGTCTCAGCCTCCTCCTCCTCCTCCTCCGGCTCACGTCCTGGCCACGCCAGGCTACGGCCAGGGGCCATGGGAGCCCCGGTGGGCGGCCGAGGGGTTCGGAGCCGGGGTTGGGCCACGAGGGAATCGGGTTCAGACCCTCCTTGCCACGGCACCTGCGCGGCAAGGCCGGCAGGTACCAAGGCCCACGCAGGTCTGCGCAGGGCCCCGGCCAGTGCTGCCT